TAAGGTTAGGTGAAAGCTGATATGTAATCTGTATTTTGATAAGAGAGATTCACTAGTTGGAAGGGTGATGTTACATTTAGTTTTGTAATTGTTCAGGTTGCAGCTTTTTCTGTTCTACACTAGCAAATTCCTGTACCACACAATGGGAAAATTCAATCTCCAATAGGCACATAAGATTTCTGCAGAACTTTTCATTCCTTATGAATCTGAAGATAGAAGCAGTTAAATTTTACAATTTGATTGTACATTCTAGAACATTTATTGCATAAAAATTTCCAAGGATAATAAAATATATTGTTCTAGATGTAGTCATTTATACTCCTGTAATATTTATCATCAAACATTGGTACTCTATGCATTTCCTTATTGTTTACAACATTTACAATTCTCCTAACTTTTAGTCCCTCGTAGTTAGGAATGTAGAGGAATGCTTGATGCAGAGGAATTTTCAGGCATTTGTTTGCTCTGTTAACAAATAATAACTCTGCCAATGGGTACAAAGATGCATTAATGTCTGAACAGTGTCCTCAAATGCTTTTGATGTTGAAGAGAAATTGGTACATGATATTACAGAAGTGAGATCTATGTCCATATGAATAATGTTATTTTGGAAGGAAAACCTAGCCCAGATTTAAGTCCTTGAAGATTTCTGTGAAGTAGGAGACATCTGAGCAAAACCTTCTGTTAACCAGAGTAAAGTTGGAGGAGTAGTGGAGGTGACAGGACACTCTCAGCAGCACAGATGAAATCAAGCAATGTGTGAGAAGATACTTTTAGGAGCAGGTGGGTGGAGAAATGTGTGTAGGAATGGCAGGTGAGGCTGGAGAGTGGCTCAATGCCACTCTGAAGTGTGATGGACAATCCCTGGATTATCAGGAGGTAACAGCTCAAACTTTTAATTTAGAGGAAAAAATTCTGACATTGGTTTGGGAAACAGAAAGACAGCTAGGATGGAAGAGAAAAGTGATATTGGGGCAGAAAGAGGTAGCAGGGATGACCATAGCACAGAAGTTTTGGTAACTGCTTTAGAGCCATAGCAAATTATTACTTCATTAATATGTGAACTGAAAGTATAAACAGCAAAGGTTTCTGTGTTACATTTCTCTAAATAATCAATGTTTATTTTTATAAAAATGAGTAAATAGTTAATTAATAGATTAACAAACTAAGCCTGAACTTAGTTTCAAAAGTGTGGTTCAGCATCCCTGGACCAATGGACACTAATCACACGCTTTTTTGAAAACAGAGGCAATCATTGAAATACTACATTCTGAATTTGTAACAACTCTCTGTATAGTATGCACAATGCTTTAAAAGCTACTGTAACTGCTATGCTGACTCCTTGTACAGCACATACTATATGTTTGGTATGTGACAGACATTGTTCCAAATAGTAAGGATTGAGAATAGGAAGTAAATACTCTAGTTGACAAAGGCCTTTAGTTTTATGAAGATGATATTTCTTTGGCCATTCTCAGAAATCATGGTACCTATAGTCTAGTGATATGAGTAGACCCTTCAACACTTAACAGAATGTGGAAAAATAAGGTATTGTTTGGGTTTCAGTTCAGGATTATAAGGCTTGCAATACTGGGGTACACAACCTTAATAATTGTTTAATGGATAATTAAAAACAGATGAAATTTGAGCTAGAATTTAATAGATGAACATGACTTTTACTCTGAAAATTAATATAAACTCCAGGAGAAGCATAAATACATTTAATGGATATGCAAAATATATCCAACCTTGATGGATGAATAGTTTGATGTATTCAAAGGAGAATGGGCAGGAAGAAGGAATTATCAGTCACAACAGGGGGAAAAAAGTCACTAAGGAAAAGGGTGGAGCTAGGAAGCCACATTGTAGCAGTAGCTAAAAATAGCCAGGAAGAAACAATGTGAGACACTAGGAAACTCCTGCAAAATAAGGCTCAAAGATCAGCATTGCCTCTGAAAGCCACAGGTCACATTTAATTTCCATAACAGCAGCTGTGACAGAGTCATTAAAAAAATGTTACTTCAAAAATATATACTGTGAAAGTGTGGCCAGAAATCAGAAATAAATCTGCCCTTTTGAGACCATAGAAAATATTAGCCAAGAAAAGGGACAGCAGATACAGAAAGGAAGACAGCTAAGAAAGAAAATCCAATGATGGAGATTTGGTTATTCAGAGGGATTGAAACTATGTAATGATAGTTAGCTGTGAATTAGAGAAAAATACTCCCTGAAGTATACTGGGGTTTTAAAGTAATTCGTTTTTAACAGAGAGAAAGGAGAGATTAATTTGGCAAGATGAATGTGGAGTGAAAAAAATACTATTTGTAATAGGTGCTTCTAAATATCCCCTATAATATCTAAAGCAAAGTTGATTTTGTTTCTCTCTACCCCATAGAACATTTGTTATATAAATGACACTTAGATATATAGAAACCCAGAAATAATCAGAAAATTACAAGAGTCAATCATGAGGCATTCATCTTTCAAAGCAGGTAGACTATTATGTTGTACATATATTTAATGAAAGATAAAAAATTGGAACATTCAATACATCAAATCAACTAGTTTTTGGAAATATGATTTTTTTATAATTTTGAAAATTGATATATTATTAAACATCTAGCCTACAGCCTATGCAGCATCTTAACTCAAACACAGAATTTTGTAGTAAAAAAGCCAAACATTCACATTAAATGAGGTAACTAAGTAACAGAAATGTTAACACTAGTCAGTTCAAATAAATTTTCACCACACAAGAGTATTTTAAAATTGTTGTTCAGGAATATAAACATTTGTATTGTATTTGTATATTATAGCCATTTCTTTCTTTAATTCTTGAAAATCTGTTACAAAAGCAAGGACACAAATGTCAGTATAATGCAAAATTATCTTCCCCAGAGAAATTATGACATTAATTGTCCTATGAAATCATAGTAAAATATACACTTGATGTCCTACATTAGACTTGATAAAAGAAAATAATCCTTTACTCTGTAATAGCTTTAACATAGTCAACATCTGTCTCTGGTAGCTATAAAATAAAATTAACCATCAATATAGTTCAACCATAAGATCATTTGGAGTATACTAGAAGTCAGTAACAGGCAGGCGCCCATCCACCGGAATCAGTTTTTATAAACAAAATATATATTTTATGGAAATTGATTTGCGTTTTCTTCTTTGAGGTTTTGAAATTCAAACTTAAAGAAGATATCCATGTTATTTTATTTGTCTTGCTCCTAAGTCAACACCTTCCTAATTTTAACTGTTATGCTAATTTATTACCCAGTACATGGTACTCTTTATACAAGCATCTGAACTGTTACTCCTACCTGCTAACAATAGCTAAAGAGCTGATGGCAAGAAAAGTCCTGGAGAACCTTAACGCGTTGTACAGAACAGTTTGATGAGACATGTATTACTTCATGCTCTTAGAAAACAATATAAAGTAGACTTAATATTAAGGAAATTTCAACCTTAAAACTTTTAGGTAGTCTTATCAGGTTATATGTGAACTTTGCTCAGGACAGATCTCATAAATTTGAATTAAATTAACATAGTATATAATACTGTAGAATTCAATGTAGATGATGTTCTGATATTCTGTCTATAAGGTTCTTAGTCTTCAAGGATACCAAGCTACTATTTGCTTATTTGTGAAAAAAAATATATGTAAATATAATGTATATGACTATATTATGTACGTATGTTATGCAAATATAAAAGGTAACTTTTGTTGAAATGAATATCTTTAGAGAAATAAATGGATTTTAATAGGGTCTTGAGTGTAGACTATGCTGATATAATAAAAAGTTATTTAAGATCTGCAAGTCTGCAGGTAGACTAATCAAACCATCAAAGGACTGGAGATGTGGCCTAGAATTGGCAAATAAGGAGATAAGAATATACAAACCATGGAATGAAGAAACAAGAGTAGAACAAAGGAACTTTTGTAGTCTGATTGCAGAGCAGTTTCATCGTCTGATTTTGTAGTGTGAACCTGATATTTTTGGTAGTTAAAATCTTTATTTTGAGTTGAGGTACTTAAACACATTGTAGTCTTAGAACTGATTTGCTTGCTAATGGTAGACCAGAGCAGATGGCCTGAATAGAAAAGAATCCATAGCCAATAAGATCGTGCATTAGGTTACAAAAGTGAAGAGCTATCATTGCTTATTCTTTAGTTTTTAAACGCTGTGTATACAACAGTTTTATTTTGAATAATCTGTATAATTTCTAAAAAATAATAAATAACCCAATAGCATTATCTGTGTTTGTTGAAAACACACACACACACACACACACACACACACACACATATATATATATATATATATGAAAATATAGATAAGCAAATAGTAGCTTGGTATCCTTGAAGACCAAGAACCTTATAGATAGAATATCAGAATATCATCTACATGAATTCTACAATATTGTATACTATGCATATACATTTCATTTTTTTCTCATAAGAGATGTGATGGTACCACCTTGAATATATATATACTTTAGTGTAAACCAGGCTAGCCAAGGACTGTAAAAGACCCACATGGCTCTGCTTCTTTAGAACTAGGATTAAAAGCATGCACCACCATGCCCACCTAGGCTCCTAGATATAATATTGATAAAATTTTTGAAAGATTATAAGTACATAACATTGTAAGGCTAATCAGAAAACATAATCTAGTAGAGACAGGAAATTCAAAAGGAAACCAGTCACAACAGAACCTATATTGGGCATCAACTGTAAAATGCCACAGCAAGTACTTTATTTGTTTGTTTGTTTGTTTGTTTTATTAATCATTCCATTCGTTTACATCTTAAATGATATCCCACTTCCTGGTTACCCCTCCACAAGCACCCTGTCTCACAATCTCCCTCTCCTCCCTCCCCTTTTGCCTCTATGAGGGTGCTCCTCCACCTACCCACCCTTTCAGGCCCCACCCCTCCAGCACCTCCCTTATCTGGGGCATCAGTCCTCCACAGGACCAAGGACCTACCCTCTCATTGATGTCAGACAAGGCGATTCTCTGCTACCTCTGTCTCTAGAGCCATTGATCCATTCTTATTCACTCCTTGGCTGGTGGTCTAGTCCCTGGGAGCACTGGGTGGTCTGGCCAGCTGATGTTGTTCAAGTCAGTTTCCTGCAGCAGGATATGCTGCTACATTCCTTTGTAGATTAAAATCCTGTGGACTAGGCGGTTTCCTAGGAGGTTGCCTGAGTCATTGCCCTTGCAGAGCCTCATGTTGACATGAAGCCTCATCCTTTCCTTTTGTTCTACTTACTTACTCACCAATTTCAACAATAGCATTAAAGTCAAGTTTAGAAATCAGTAAGAGTAGCAATTCCAAGTTTAAAAGGGCTATGACACTTTAGAAAGAATTACATCTGATTTCTATCAACATATAGAAGGGGATTTCCATATCATCTGTAGTCATCTCTTTTACCTCTGTACATCAAAATCATCAATCATTAATTTATTTTGCCTAGTACAAAGCATAAAGCTTCAAGTCTCAGGTTTTGCTTGTGCTTATGTTTGTACTGTCTTTACATGCAGAACCTCTTACATTAATATGAATCGTACTTCTGCTAATTTGAAAGCAATAAATAAATAAATGTGAAGTCTGTTTTAAAAGTAGCATATTTATTAGGTTTTCCCATTTAGTGGTCTGATTAAGACAAATTAGTTACTTATAAATCTATTGTGTAAATAAATTTTACTACCCTTATCTGAAAATTGATTTCAGTATATTGTACTGTACAAGTATTAAAACAGTTCAGCCCTGAAAATATATATAAAAAAATAAAAATATTGAGCATATTATGTTTAGAAATATATATTATTATTTTATTACATATTATTATTATTTTTTATTATATATAATATATTATATATATGCATGCATATATATATACATATATATATATAAATTAGTGAATAACGAGATCATCAATTTGAAAGAGAGCAGGTATTGGAAAGTTTGAAAGAAAGCAGAAAAGTCAAGGGAGAAATGATTTATGAGAATCTCAAAAATAGATGAAATATGTCAGAAAAAAAGAGAAAAAAAAGTTAACAGAGCTTCACGTTCACGTTCAGTGCCATAGTATAATGAAAATGCAGCAAAAGAGCAAAATAGAATCCTGTTGAGGTCTTTGTTTTGCCCACCCCAACCCTGGCACTGCCATAGCTCCATTTCCAACAGAAACCTGCTCCAGCCAACTCTTTATAATTTCATATACCTTGTCATTCCAGTCAGTGACAAACACAAACCCCCTTTTCTTTTTTTCTTTTCTCATCTCCTCTTCCACCTTACCACAGGTAGTTAGCCCCATTGAATTCTGTAGAGACCACCTACCATTTTTAAGCCATCAGTGATTCATTGCCAACTTTCTCCTCAGTCAGCTTTCTCCTCAGGTGGGCTCATTGTCTCTACAGTCTACGCAACCATTTAGCAAGATAATTGTCTACCACTTTGAAACGTAGATTACTTTAGTCTCTTCTCAAGTTAACTACAGAAATCTTTGAAAAATCAAGACAAATAATTCAAACTTTAAAATCTTATCAACCATATACTTGGATCACTTCCTGGACTTTGCTTTATACTAAGTCTAAAGCCTTTTCACCAATTCTCTAGCTGTGGCTCTTTCGCCCATATTCTGCATCTTTCTACTCTCTGTTTCCCTTGATCTCCCAACTCTCCATTCCCTTACTCTGTCTCTGTTTTCTCTATGAAGGTTTCTAAGGATAAGTCAATTTTGCATTGATTTATTCTTCACAGTATTCTGCATATACTATGTTGTTAGGGGTAATTTCTCTGATACTACAGTGTATTCTCAATATTAGTAAAACAGCAGGAAGAAACCAAACCAGCTACATATCAAGAATAAAGCACGGAGCAGTAAAAGATTATAGAATATTTGAAGTTAATAGATGAATGGTAGATTATCTTGATTTTGTAAGGAGATGATATTTATCAATCCTTCAGCTGTAGGGAAGCCAGGTCACATAGAATTAATATATAAGAAGGTTTTCAAAGAACTAAATCTTGCACATTTTTTTATTTTTACATTATATATTATATATGCATATATAATAATATGTATCATATATGTATTAAGTATTATATACACATTACACATATATATATATATATAATTTCATAAGATAGGCATTGCTGTGTCCATTTCAAATAATAAAACTAACCAGTCACTGAGATTTTAAGAATAAAATTAGAAAATTATATCAGGATATTTAATTCTAATTTCATCGATTTTATATAATTCACAGTGCCCATAACACATGTGAGAAAAAATGAACTTCTAAGCCAAGATAACCTCCTCGTAATACAACAATTTGGGAAAAGGGAAACAGAAGCAGGGGTATTTGGATGTCAAGTCCAGCATGAGGTACATATATGGACATGGTCTGAAAAATTAAACAAAACAAGTAACAACATTAAAACAATAAAAAATAAGAAAAATAGAAACTAGAGATAATGTTCTAATGATTTCTCAAAAAATCAGAGAAATTATCATATATTTTAATGATATTTTTAGGAAAAATCATATTGAGAAAATATTGTGACATCAGGAAAGGATGACAATAAAAAAGAGATGTAAAAATACGCACAATCTATTTCACTGAATCATGTGCCTGTCTTTAAAAGCTGTGACTGGACATCCTCAGGATATAATGAGTTATTTTACACTGAGTGTTTGTCTAATATTTTATAAAAAGTATATAAATAAATATATACAGAAAAGAGCAAGTAGAAAACTTACACATTTGGAAGAACTGATGATTAAACTGATACTGAAAAGAGGCAACAAATCAGCAAGAGAAAAGCTCATGCTGGGAATTAACATCAGTTTAAAACTCTCAAGGTGAGTCTGATAAAAGGACTCAGAAGTAGGATTTCATACTACTAGACCGGAAAGCCTTAAATGCAATGAAATAATCAGAGTTTTGAGAAGCCATTAGTATATATTTACTTGTGATAAATACAAGTGATACACTATATCATATGTGTATACTGATTTTAAAATCCACCAGTTTAGACGCATCCATCTAAATAACTAGTGATGTAGAGTAAATAAATAATGGTGGGGAAAAAAAAGAGAGAAAATAACAGAAAAGGCTACACTTAGTGAATATTTCCTAAAGAGAAGGGTAAGTGTAACTCTTCGGGGTTTGGCATGAGATCTCCTTGAGTTTAAGTATATGTACTTTAAATAAAAAGGTTAAAAACTAACTCTCCTGAGGCCAGAGATTTTCAGTCTTCTGCCTTGAAGTGTACTGAAAACAGCAGCATATTTTGTGTGAAATGCCTTTGGTAGTATTTCCTTCTTTTCTAAAACCAAAGTTTTCCAAGCCCCAGTTGTTAGAATTGCTTATTTGACTTGTGATTTTAACTTTTGACATACCTTATTACTAAGCATACTCCCTGTCTCATGTTCATATTGATCAAATATGCATGTTATTTTTGATATATTTATATATGTCATTATAATTTAAATATCCAAAGCTTTAAAAGATTTATAAGTTTAAAATGAGCCAACATTCACAGAGTAGAATTGTTTCAAATACATTGTTATGTGCATGGACAACGTCTAATCACTGGAAACTTCTTGAAACTACAAAATATATAAACAAATACAGAATAATGGATTTTCACATAAACCTTCTGACATGAGACTATTCAAATACATTATTTATCACCCTAATTATTTTGCACTCACATGACAATATTTTATTAAACACCATTTTATAACTACTTGAAGTTTTAAAAATTAAGAAAAAACATCTCTCTGAAAGCTATAGGGCAAGTAAAGTATTTTATGCCATGACTATGTACTATGCTTTTTATAAAGAGAATTAAAATACTTTCCTTAATTAGTTTTAGAAATGTTGAATTGTAAGTAAAACATATGCTTTCATTTCAGTAAGTTGGTTACTTATACATCCCCAATTCATTTGAAACTATGCACATTTGTTAGTGTTTTCAGTTTTTGAGCAGATAGCTCTTGGTTTCCTCAGAGGAAACCAAGCTTTGCCTGATGTCAGCTCAATGATGTCAAACCACTCAAACTCTCTTTAATGATACAACAATGTCATTAATACTACCTTGAGGGGAGTTTGGCCGCATCATGAATGATTTTAACAAGAAATCAAATTATGACATGCTTTGATTCAGTGTCACAATGAAAACTTGAGTCAGAATTGTGTCACTTTAAATGTCCTTATGATTGTCAAAGATGAATAGTTGGCAGTTAATACACTTTCATTACTTAGCAGACTAGTTTGCTTTCCTTATGGTAGTAGTGTACCATTTTGATTGTGTTTTAAATGCATTATTTTTTTAAATAGTGAACAAGAGAAAAGTATCTAGAAATAACTATATTATGTTTGAAGGAAAGTTTTTTTGATTTTCTAATGTATGAGGGTCTATTTTTTCCTCCCTTCTCAAGTTTGGTTTCCATTGAGGGATTCCACAGCAATTTTTTGACAGACAGGTTACAGGCATTAGGGATAACAGTGACTCAAATAAGCCTAATCTCTGCCCTCATTTTCCTCATTTGGTATGTTTAATGTTCAAAGTTAATAGAACATAGTGGTTGGTTTTACACTGTTTTTAAATATGTAAAACATATAAAAACAAAAGTCAGACCTTTTATGTGATTTCAGTGAAGGAAGAGAGTTGATAGTAAACCCTGAGAAGGACAAATGAGTTAATGACAGATTGCTTAGAATGACTATGGGGAGGTGGAGGACGGCAGGGTTTGAGAATTTAAAGAGTATCTGCTCCATTTTCTATAGATATAATTTTTTTCTACATCAAAAAGTGTGTTGAAAACCATAACAAAATATATTGAAACCAAACTGCTTAGAACTTCAGCTTTTAACTTAAGAGTCTAAACATTTTAATAATCAGTAGAAAATTACTGAAAATCTTTGGCAGGCATAACACAATTAAAGCTTCCACTTCTGAAGATGTGTTCTACGACTTAGAAGGCATCTCTTATAAAGGGATTGCTGTAAGTTAGAAACTCATATAAATTGATGAAGACCAGAGATTATATGACAGCCGTTGTGAACAGGAAGAAGCATTAGAGA